AGTGGACTGTTCGACTGATCTTTGGTAGGTGTTATTCTAATTTTGATTCTTAGTAAATTTATGTTTGGTCATCTCTCAAAAAACAAGATATATATAAAATATAAATATACATATATGGCTTTGGTGGGAGGGGAGTTTTAAGAAGTTTTTTTAAATTTTTTTTTAGAGATTTATTTTTCTCATGTGTTACATTTTCCTAACCATTATTGCATATAGTAAACGTATTGTCATATTTTTTTAAAATATAAGAAAACATGACATGCATTAAAAATATACTATACATATTTAGATAACAGCAAAATTAGTGCATCTAGCTAAAATAATAAAAAAAGATTTCAGGCATTGTTTTGTAAGCCATCATTTAAATGCTATTTATAAGAAAACGCTGTTTTCTGTTTTAAAGATATATATATATATATATATTAAACATTTAATTTCAGACCTTAATAGATTCTAAATAACGAGAATCTCAATCCCAAACTACAAGTTCGGCTTACCTAGATTCGAAAACGTTAAAATAAAAAGTTAAGGAGGTCAAAAAAAGGAAAAGCACCTAAAGCTTAACTTCCATTTGTTACCGAGACAGAAAATGAAGCAGGTGTGGGTCCAGAAAAATGCAGAAGTTACCTGAGAAATACAGCAGCAGCAGCAGCGCAGCTCCAAAGACAATCATCTTCGCCCTGTTCGTCACTCCGGGATTATACAGGGAGACGGGCGACGGGACTTGGTGCGTCTTCGGTCCGGCGCCGTGCGCCCGGAGAGCAGACACACACACACACACACACACACACAGAGCTGGAGCGCTACATTCACTGTCCCTCACACACTTCGCCGCATGTTCTCCGTCTCTGCAGAGATGGTTGCGAGTCCCGCAAGTTTCAAATCCCACGATGCAATGGACGTAAGAAGGAAGGGAGCAGTTTCTGCGTGTGACTTGAGCCGAGTGTGTGTGCGTGTGTGTGTGTGTGTGTGTGTGTGACCTTTGCGTACCGCAGTGGGTGATGGTAATGCTGCTGCTGCTGCGTAAAGGTTTACCACCAAGGTACGTTCTTGGTGGTAAAAGATCGGCGAAAATCGGTGAAAGGATCGGGTTTATTAACAGGTGTTCTATCCTTCCTCCACCTACCTCCACCCCTCCCACCCCTCCCTCGTCACCGTCACCCTCCTTCCACTTTTCTCACCCCCTCACACCATTAGCACCACAGCCACTCTAAGGTGATAAATGTATTATTTCCATCAGAGCGAAATTGAACGATGGCCGTAAATTATTATATTTATTGTTATAAAGAGTGAACCTGTAGAACCATGTTGAATGTTAGTGTCATAACATTAACTGTTAAAATACATTGAATACTGTACCTTCCAAATCTTTTAAAAGAAAGATTGTCCTTTTTTAAGTTGAGCATGGAGCGTATTCATAGTGGGCGAGGTTAGTTTATTATTAACTAGCCGTCGTAGCTAGAGTTTACAATATTTGACATTGACAGTCCTGCGACATAAACTTTTCATTTATGATACCGATACTGCAACATGGAGTATCTGCCAATACCGGTATCATCCGATACCTTCTTTTCTCATCCGGCAGGTTATGTTATGTGCCTTTTTACGGCATGTAACAAAGTTACGCTGAGCATTTGAGCATAGGTATCAAATCAGACAGGCTATCGTTGTTGTTTTGTTTGTTTTCTTTCGATTAGGATTTAGGATTTTTTCAGAACTAAATTTGAAACCGAATTAGGTTTTGATACAGCATATTTTAATACAGCGAATTTAAAGTTACTGACTCTGCCTGGTGAGTATTTATTAGGAATTTAGCTCTGCGAATTAACCACCATAAAAAGTTAACATAAACTACTGTATTTTTCGGACTTTAAGTCGCTCAGGAGTATAAGTCATACCAGCCAGCTAGAGTGCCCTCTAGCGGCTGTCAGTGTGGAAATAACGAAAGTACATTTTCAGTGCTACCGGAGTAGCAGATACTGCTACACAAGCCTAGAGTGCCCTCTAGCGGCTGTCAGTGGAACATGCGAAATCATATATTTTAATATATAAGTTGCACCTAGCAACTTAACCTCACAATTATCTGCTCCCGACCCGACCCCCCTGTCAAATATTAGGACCCATTGTGGCCCGCAATCAAAATGTTTGTCCGCGTCTGTTTTGGTTTTAGTTTTTTTTTTTTAAATGATACAATACAATTAATGAAGCATTTCCCTTTTTAATTGTGTTGCATAAATTGAATCAATTATTACCTTTGCAATATTTATGTCTTGAATGGTAGTTTCCTTAGCTTAAAAAAAGTTCAGCGCACTGAGGATATGAAACTAATCCAGACACGTCTGGTATAACAGGGATAAAAATTAAATGTTAGCAAATGTGCAACTTCAGCACTTGCAACTTTAGGAGATGAGTCATCGTCCCATTATACCTTTTATTTTTCCCGCCACAAAGCCTGCCTTTAAAGCTTGTTCTTACCATAAAGAAAAAAAGTTATAAGCCACTTTTTACATTCTACAGATTCAATTTCACTCTATTGTTGTTGTTTTTTATTATTGTTTATCCACAAATTTTCCATTTTAAACATCCCTGTGTTTGTATTTGCAGGTATCGTCAGGATTTATATTTTTATCCCAGCTGGTAAACATAGGTTTTTTTTTTCTTTAATTTTCATTTTTTCTCCTCGTTACTTTGTGTTTTGTTTGCTAAGTCCTGTGAATATAGAAGTGGTTTTACAGATGGACATTGACAATCTGCGGGGGGAAAGAAGGAATCCAAGGAAAAAGCATTTAGTTTTACGATTTCGTCTGTAGTCCGATACTTCCTCTCCACTTCTCTAATGTTAACCCGTGTAGACGGAGTGTGCAGTGGATACAGAGAACATCTCCAGCTGCGTGTTACGTGGCGTTCAATGCACTGCTGGACTGGATAATTGTGCAAATGGAGGAGGGAGGAGCTCCAAGAGGTACTTTTGTGGATGGCCAACCATAAATAACACCACCGTGGACGACACTCTCCTCAATTACACATGCCCCGCGAACATCTCCTCATCATGTCTGTGCTTAAATTTAGACACCTGCAGTGTTTGTAATTAGAGGCTGGAGGCTGAGATGGAACACATTTTCGTAAATGTGCTTGTCTGAAATGATAACGTTGTCTAAATAATATAGCGTATGTGAGGGCGCGCCCCCATAGGGAATGAAACATAATGCAGCGTATTGTCCAATGCAGTAAATGTTTAACAAGAGGCAAAAAAAAAAAAATGAATTGGTTGAAGGTGGTGGAAAATAGAAATCTCATAATAATATTGTAAAGGAGGCCGTTACTTTTAATTCTCTGTCTCGTCTTTGCTGTTGCTCGCTTGATCTGTTCGAAGCAGCTATAGCAGCCCCGCTAACCAACGTTGGAAATGCAAACAGTTAGATTTAAAGTATGTAAAATAAACAAGTTTAGATAGTGTTTGGTAGTCCAGTGAGTATCGCCAAAAGGATACTGGTTGTAGAAAACTACTGTGTATTTATCCATTTTGCTGAAACACATTGAGAGTTATTTTCCTTAGTATATGGCACAAAATCAGGATATTATAAAGCACAGTGACTGTATAGATGGATGGATGGATGGAAGGATGGATGGATGGAAGGAAGGATGGATGGATGGAAGGAAGGAAGGAAGGAAGGAAGGATGGATGGATGGATGGATAGATGGATGGATCATAGATAGATGGATGGATGGATGGATATAAGGGTGGATGGATAGATAGATAGATTGATGGATAGATAGATAGATAGATAGATGGATGGATAGATAGATGGATAGATAGGTAGATGGATAGATAGATGGATAGATGGATAGATAGGTAGATGGATAGATAGATGGATAGATGGATAGATAGGTAGATGGATAGAT